GCGTGTGTGGCTGAAGTCTGTCGGGTGTTTTGGTCCTAAATGGGATAAAACATGTTCACACCTTCGTAGTTAATTAATATGGATCAGGGTTCCTTTTAGACAGTGTTCTACAAATCAATAGCTTCTTGGCTTTTCACACGATATAGATCTTATTCAGTCCAGTTTACTCTATTACTGTGGGTGGGTAGAATAATTGTCAGGTCTCATTAAAGACCTGCAGAAAATGTATTTCAATATCTGCTTGGTCTGACGTGTTCTGTTCTTTCCATCAAGTGCAGAAAAAGGCAGAAATGCCAAGAACTACAGGAAAGAGTGCTGAGGAGTGCTGATTTCAGAGTGGTAGAAAAGAATAGAGTTACATAGCAGGAACTGTAAATACGGGAACCACTCAGCTTGTGACCAAGCATTGCTGGTGGGAGAGACTAAGGTGTTTGTTAATGCATCATCTACATCTATTAGGCAAGCAATAAAATTAGCAAACAAACGATAATAACATGAATATGTGGTTACAAGCATAGAATGTAAATTAAGAGAGGTTATATTAAAATTTTACAATGAACTAGTAAGTCCTCACAAGAATATTTTGTGTTATTTGGTCACAGTATTGTAGAACAGATATTGGTGTCAGTCTAGAGTAGAGCAGCCAGCTGCATCTCTGTGCTCAAGGAAATGTCCAGTACTGACAGGCTGAAGCATCCTTCTACGTGCCGGTCACAGAGTGGGTGAAAAGAACAGAATCTTTTATTTGGACACGGAAGACTCGACTAGACTATTCAAGTATTAAAAATCCTCAAAGACAATGATTGACAAAGTCAACCCGAGGGACTTCTGCAGAGTGAACAGTGAGACAAACACGATAAGAGTGAAGTGGAAATGAAGAGCATTTCAAACTGAGACAAGGAGGCAGTCTGGGGCTCTGGAACCCAGCAAGGTTGTTCAAACTCAAACTGTGGCTCCGTTCAAGAAATGTCTGGAAGAGATCCTCAGATCAATTAGCAACTTGCAGACAATAAATCTAGAATATGCCAAAAAGCAGTTCTTTTCTTTGAGACCATTCTTATGGTCTGACTTAAAAATATTCTTATTACATTAAATAGTATTCCTGCGTGTTTAAGTGTTTGGGAATGTGCATTGGAATGTGCTCTCTAGTACAATAGTGCATTGGGATTTCAAGATGTAAGGTTTAGCTCCAGTTAAATCCCAATGCAGTGTTGCACTTGGCATTTCTGCCCTTTTCTCCTGCTGCTCAAGGCATCGAGCAGATATTAAAATCTGTAAACCCAAAGTATATTCTTCAGTGTTTCAGTACAGAGCCTCGGTATTTTAGTTTTTAGAATTCTGCGCACTCGGACACTCAGCTGCTCATCTGGAGCATGGTGGTGGCTCATAGTAATAGATCTTCAGCAGGCCTAATCGCGACGCTTGCTGATTGGAACAATTGGTAGATAATTCTTGCGTGTTCCTTCGCTAGCTCGCTAACAAGCCTTGAAGGATTCACTGGTGTCTCATCAGGTGGACCTGGCCAATTTGTACATCAAGACGGGTGCCAAGAACATGCCCACTATGTTCCTACTGACAGACGCGCAGGTGCCCAGCGACAGCTTCCTTGTGCTCATTAACGACTTGCTGGCCACAGGTAAGAGCTGCTCTGACATTCCCATGCTGCCTCCACTGACAGCTGTGTGCTGTCCACTACTGGCATCCTGTCTCTCAGACAGATAGATACGTTACTGTCCACTTCTGTGGAAATTTGTCTTTGGATTCTCCCATAGAAGTACAAAACACACAAGCAAGTTACATAAAACCACATCTGTTTAAAGGTTGGTCTTTTAAACAGAGTCCCACAAGAACCATGTCATCTGCATATTTAATTAGACTGGTTACTCTCCGCAATGCCTTTGCTATTAGTAAAGACAAATGAGTCATCAATTACTCCTCAACTACCCCAGAAGAGGTATCAGTCTATCTTTTTCAGTGACAAGGGCCTCTGCTATATTGCATCTTATTATTTTACATATATTGCCAGTATATATATGCACACTCTTTTAGACTCAGGAGTAATGAGAATATCAGGATATAAGATAGGACAAACGACTGAAACTGCTTCTCTGAGGCTTGAAAAACGGCTTTGTCTTTGAACACCTGCTGCAGGTGAAATCCCAGAGCTGTTCAGCGACGAAGAGGAGGATGGAATCGTGTCAGGAATCAGGAGTGAGGTCAGGGGACTCGGCTTGCCGGACAGCAGGGAGAGCTGCTGGAAGTTCTTCATAGATCGAGTCAGACAGCAGCTGAAGGTGAGACACATGAACACCGTTCAGTAGGGCTTTTTACACTGACTCCATGGAAATGATCTGAATAAATTGTGGTTTTGGCTTTGGAGTTATTGATCAGATAAGTATGGTGAGATGCTGTAAAACCTGTAGAAGGCTAAGCAGTGAATTTAAACTCGGAGGAGCCCATTCAATTTCATCTTGATGAATTTTTAATTACTTCCTCGAAAATAAAGATGTTTGTAAATCCTCTAGTATTTGAACACAATTAAAGACCTGCTCCTAAACTCTTAATTCAGCTTCTGTCCGGATGCTGCTGCTGTTCTCCTAACAAGGAGAGAGCCTGAAATAACTACAGTGAGAGGGAATGGCCATGTCCTTTCGTTCAGTCAGTTGTATTCTTATATAGAGCCTTAGAGTACAGAGCATTCTTAAGGCACTTTACATAAACTACACAATACAAATATTCTCAAGACAAAACTCTTGACTTATTAGGATCTTGCGCCCCCTTTTGGAAGTAAAGTGCAGCCACGTACAGTATGTTTCTAACCTCTCAGCGAGTAAAATGTATTTTGTCTCTAGGAACTTAGTCATTGAATTAGAAAAAAGATCATTGCGAAAACAGAATCGAAAGCTTAATATTAACGTTCCAGCCAAAATGTCATTATCACTCTGATAACAATGTGTCAGATGACACTGAAATAAAAGCCTGGTAAATGTGGTGATAGAGAATAAACTCCTATCAAAGGAACTGTGGGAATGTGGTAAGCACTATAAGTGTAGAGGGAATAGTTCAGTCAAATCCAAACAATTTCAAAATGAATAATGAAAAAATAAATGAACTAGAACTAAAAGGGTATGAACAGACAGTAATAATGAACTGGCTTTCTTCTCACTGACTGTTACAAACATTTCTTAAGTGACAGTAATCTCATTTCCAAGATTTACTTATTTTACACTTTAAACCAGGAGCAGCACCGCAGTGCATTTAGTAAAGCCATGAACAAATATGGAAAACTGAGAAGGAGGTCATGTATCTTAGTCCAGCTGGAATCTCTGGGCTGAGTGAGCCGTCGGCAGGTTTTCGGTGTTTTAAATAAATCAAGGAGGTGCAGCCTCGGTGGGTTTCCTAGGGAGAATTCATCCACAAGGCAAAGATTCCCTGTCGGTTACTCCTCATGCTCTTCCTCTCCCTGAGCAGAGAGCTGGGACAAGACTTCCGCAAAATCGTAGTTTCTGTTAGCCTTCGTCGGCTCCCTCCCCCTAACCCTAGATTCAGAAGAGAGTGGAGCTGCTAGAGAGAATAGAAGATCGTCCCTTTTGGTTTACCGATCCAGCAGGGAGTAACTATTTGATACGTCTGAGTAACAAAATAGAGTGTTATGCCTGAGCAGAATGTATCCATGGCATACACACAATCAACCGCGTGGAACTTGTAAAGCTTAGTGGATACACCTGGACAGAAGTGATCGACACATTAGAAGACGAGGAGGTGACCTGATCCAGGTGTTTCGGAATCCTCCTTAACATGTCAGCCCGCTGGATGCCCTGAAACACACACAACAGGACACCAGTGGAAACAAAAAGGAAGTGCATTTCAAACCCCGGACCAGAGACCCTCTCTTACTGGAAGGGGTGCCCGAGGAGCAGGCTGCCCTGCCGTGTTGCTGGAGCTGATACGCTGGCTTCGTTTAGGACATGGCTACGGGTGAGATCCTCAGATCAGTCAGCTGTTGAAAACTGAACAAGTTAGACAAGCTGAACGGCCTCCTGCTGGTAACCTTTTCTGTGTGCCGTTTATTGGTTACAACGTGGGGCAGCTTTCAAAGACACTGTGATTCTTAGGCTTTCCTAACAGACTTGAGTCAAAAAAAGAAAAAGAAAAAAAACTTTCCAAAAGCTTGTAAGGTGGTGCCTTGTCCTCGCTGTGATTCATTTCAGCTTTATGCAGCTGAACACCCGACTCGCTCTGTGCTCTGGTTGCTAACGGTAGGCCTGCCTGAGCCCTGTTTCCATTTCCCCGACCACCAGGTGGCGCTGTGCTTCTCCCCCGTGGGCAGCACTCTGCGAGTCAGGGCCCGTAGGTTTCCCGCCATCGTGAGCTGCACAGCCGTCGACTGGTTCCACGAGTGGCCACAGGAGGCGCTGCAGTCCGTCAGTAGGCGCTTCCTGGAGGGGGTCCAGGGGGTCGAGGTCTGTATCACTCGCAGCAGCGCAGGTCCGAACGGCAGGGCCTCAGGCCCACTGCAGCTTACAGAGCGGGTTCGTCGGTCCCGGTTTGGTCGGGTCAGGGCTGTGGTATGGATCCCTGGACTCCAGGGTTCACCACATGCATTTCCAATGGAAAGAAAACGGCCCTCTGTCTTGCTGAGATGAAATAGAGTTTGTGTTTGGAGCTATCTGCAGGAATTACAGATGCATTGCAGCATTTAGTTCTGCAGATTTACTGTTGTCCCCGGCGGTCAGCGGTCAGCGGTCAGTGGTTTAGCATTCACACGGGGATCATGGCTTCATGAGGTGCTGATAAATATATTTGTTTTAAACGGTGAATGCAACAACGCACTAAATGCAAAAGCACGTCTCGCGTAGTAAAGCAGGGGCTTAAAATGTTTTTTATGTGACATTTTATTTCTTTTTTTTCCCAACACACATAAGATGTTATAACAGAAACCCGCCTCACCCATCTCACTCAACACCCATCAACAAGGAGATCATCTCCCTGGGGCTGACCTTAGGACCCTGAAAATATACTGTAATGCTGTAGGAAAACAGTTACAGGACCCCCAAACTACATAGCTTTGACTTCGCTAAACATGCTCTGAAAAAATGCTCTCTCGGTGTACTTGGCTTTATTTCATCCCACAAGAGCAATTTCTGCAAAGGAATGCAGTCGTGCAGCAGCAAGGTGATCTCCTTCCCCGTAGAGCCTCGTAAGACAGAACCATTTGAGATTTTGTACGTACTGGAAAGAAAATCTTTTTTTTTTTTTTTTTTTGTCGCAGGAGCTCCATCTGAAAAGAAATATCCCTGCCTTCATCTCGACTTTTAATTAACATTCGTTTGAATTAGTCGCTTTAACTTTCGATAGATTCCTCATAATTAGTTCTGCGTTATGATGAGACAAATGTGTAATTAGGTACACAAATAGCAAAATAACCCATGTTGTCATTTCATTTCTCCACAGCAGCAGATCGGTCTCGAGCAGAAATCAATTATGCTAATGAAATTACTGTAATTAGTAATCGCAGGCTGACCCTGTAAAAGCCACAGCTGTTAAAGTCAGGAAGTGCTGTCACTGTTGACCTTCTCATAAGAGAAGTGACAAATTGCCAGGGAAGGGGAGCCCACTCATCAAAGGCTTCCAGCACTGCTTGAAAGCCCTGTGAATTACAGACAGCTGCTCTCTGGTGGAGTGTGCCTCTTCCATGCTGTGCCCAGTGACAATAGTTATTTTATCTCTCTGAGATGTGCCTTTTCAGGCCACTTTCAGCCTTTTCACAATGCAGGAGCACAAGGGCCCAAATGGCTGGAGCTGGCAATAAAGGCACTGACGTATCAGCGGTGCTCCGTCACCACTCCCTGCAGCACGGAGGGGAGCGGCGAGGGCCGCTTGAAGGAGATAATGAGATGCTTTGTCAGTGTTTCAGATAAAGTTCATTTTAATTTGGCTCATATGTGAAAACAAATCGATGTATGGATCCCCTCCGCGTTGCTGAATTTAATTCTGAAATTTAAACACGTTATTAATAATTGGAGATTCAAGCAGAAGTCGATGCAGAGTCTGTACTTGTGCTGCTGGCAAATAAGCCGGCACTTTCGTGAACTATTGTGTCGATGCTTAATTAGTAATGATTTCCTGATTCTTTTTTTTTTGTTGTTGCGTGTTTCGTAAATTATGTCCAGGTTTTGATACCCATTTCGGTAGTTCATTTGTTGTTGTTTTTTGTATTATCAATTGATCCCTAACAGCTCCTGATTAATTAAACATGCTTCCGCTTAAACATCACGCAATAAATAATCATTAGCATGCCAGGAGCTTCTGTTTGGAAAGTTTAAAAAGTTGGAGGACACAGAGGATAATGTAAACAGCTCCCCAGCTTGGCAATCTGCATGTCATGGCTAAAATACATTATTTTCACAGTGGCTTTAAAGTATAATCATTTCTAGTTGCAGTGCCTAAATCTCAGATTGAGTAAGTCAAAGCTATCCGAATAAAATGGCAAAAGTTGTAGATGAAATCAGAATTTATGAAGATAATATTTCAAGGCCCATCAGCTCCCAGTGTTAAACTCCACTTAATCCTGCCTCTCTGCTGGGCTCCTGCTTTTACAGCCTCACATCCAGGATTCCATTAGTCTCTTCATGGCCCATGTTCACACCAGTGTCAACGAGATGAGTGAAAAATACTGGCGGAATGAGAAGAGGTACAACTACACCACCCCCAAGAGCTTTCTGGAGCAAATCAGCCTCTTCAGGAACCTGCTGCAGAAGAAACAGCAGGAACTTTCTCAAAAAATGGAGCGTCTTGTCAACGGCATCCAGAAATTAAAGACAACCGCGTCCCAGGTATATATCCCAGCTGGAAATCATTTGGCCCTTCTTTAAGGAGCTTTGGTATGAGCTCACTGTTTGCACAGTACTTTGTACTGCCTCCTGGCTGGTAATTGTATAACAGTTTATTATATCAAGACTAATCAATAGGACGGATTGAGACTCCTGTTTATGCAGTCATATTTGGGATTAATAAGTAGGAAATGCCAGGTTTCTTTTAAAAAGTGCGCCTGGGTTTCAGCGCTGATGAGCAAGAGGTGATTGGTAACATTTTAAATAGATGCATTCTTCAGATATGGAACTATAGAAGATCTATGCTGGTTATGGGAAACAATTAGAGCTCTTTTGCTGTTTTGGACACTCATGTCTTAGTATCTTAACGGTATCTTAGTATCTTAGTGGTAGTTCAGGAGTCGAGATCAGGCCACACCTCTCCTGCAAGTCCTAACAAGAAGAAAAAGCTCTTGGTGTCCTTAACTGAATGTATGAGCACCACAATTAAAAAGTCTGTTTAGCTTGTGTTTTTTTTTCTGAAAATATGAAGCTTTCATAGCAAGTTCATTTGCATATTTGCCACAGTAGGTATATATTCAAAAGACAGAAGTGTCAAAACTAAAGCGGGTTTTAGGGAACTTTCATTCATTTTATTAATAGATTTTCCTACTCATTCCTGTTTTCCAGTAGTTGCTGGCAGCCTGAATATATTGACAGCAGCACGGCCACAATTAAGCACCGCCTGACATGACCTTTGCCTTGATTATTGTTCTATTGAATGTGCAGGGTCACCTTCGACCTGGGTCACTCTCCCTCAATTCACACAATTGAGCACATTTGTCATTGGGTCACTCCGATATTAATGCTCTGTGCGACTGTTTTAATTCACTCCTCCTGCACTGTTTGTTGACCCCTACTGGGGACAGCAAGGAATGGACCGCTGACCACTCTCTTCAGGACTGTCAGTCCGTTCTGCTGACCAGCTGGAAACGAAGGTCTTGCTCAGAGGTGTATCTGTTCTACCGGTCAGGTGACTCTAACTCTTTATCGCAGGTGGAGGACCTGAAGGCCAAACTTGCTTCTCAGGAGGTTGAGTTAAATCTGAAGAACCAAGATGCGGAAGCTTTGATTAGTAAGATAGGGCGTCAGACTGAGAAAGTGAGCCGAGAGAGACGCATAGCAGATGCAGAAGAGCAGAGGGTAAGAATCCCAACGAGAAGGAAAGGGTCCTGAGTTTTTTAAAAAGAGACTTCTCAGAGTATCAAGTTAATGGACTATTAACATGATATTGGTATTTCTTAATATGTATAGTATGTCTATCATGCTGAGATAAATTCAGTGAAATTTGCTCTCTCCTATATCAACAGGCTTCTATTTACAACTAAGTGACGTGTATTATGGTAAAAGCTTTTCATAGAGAGTTAGAGAAAGCTGTATTTTCCCCTTGAGCGAGTTAAAGACCGTACAAAAATGTAAGCTGTCAAATGGAAAGGAGATGGTGTTTTTTCGCATACATTTGTAAGAGGTGCTGGATGCTGTTAAAAGTCTAAAATATACCACACATCCACCTGCCGATGTGAGCTGTGCAAACATAACAAATGCACATTGATTAAATTAGTGGAGCTCTTTCCATTCCAAAATGACCCCAAAGCACTTCATGTATATGAGGGGACATTCACTTCATCCTCCACTGAAGTGCATCGCCACCTGGTGGACATGTTGCAGCACTGCTTCACCAGCTGAATCAAGGGGAAACTTTAGGGAGGCCAGATTGTTCATTTCCAGGGTGGCATTTATCCAGGACATCATGGACAATACCCCTACTCTGTGGGATCTTTAATGACCATAAGTAGCCAGGACCTCAGTTTAATGTCTTGTCCAAAGAATGGCACCTCCTTCAGGACAATGTCACCATACATCATACATACATTATCTTCATACATCATAATTTTAGGCATATCCTTAGGGTCACCATACAGAACATTTCATACAGACCACTGCTAGTCCAGAGAGAATAGCACCACCTACTGGTCTACCAATACCACTCAAAGCAGCACCGTGGATTTCTTAGAGCTCTTGCATCTCTGTACTGAGTAAACTCAGCCCTGCGGAGCCTCTGACATCTCAGGCCCGGTTCAGGCCACAGGGTGGTAGCTCTGCTCTTAAACACGCAGTGATTGTCGTTTCTGACTCTCCTGGTTGCAGGTGGCTGCGATCCAGGCTGAGGTCTCCGCGAGGCAGAAAGACTGCGAGACGGACCTGGCGAAAGCTGAGCCCGCCCTGGTGGCGGCCACCTCAGCACTGAACACCCTGAACAAGGTGATGCTCAAGCGACTGGTGTCGTCCCATGGGAGCCGTGAGTGAGACTAGTACAGCACACAAAAGACATTCATGTGGAGGTTTGTGCTCATGTACAGGAAGGAATGACGAGCTGGCTCCAGATTCCCGTGTAGTGAGTATTTTGTTGTGTTTTCTGTTCTTTCTGCTCAGAGAAGACCACTCAGCCGCTGCTGTCAGGAGAAGCCTAAAAAGGCCACAGGCGGTTAGATGATGTACAGTGTCATAAGCAGGGAGATTAGCACAGGTGTTGGGACCAGGTGCCACTCTGTATTAAGCATTGCTTGCTTCCGGCTCAGCCTGGCCAGCCCACAGTCCTGCGGGGTTCGTTCCTTTGGGCCGCGGGGCTGAACCCGCGCGCCGCGGCTCGTGTCGTTGCAGGTGAACCTGACGGAGCTCAAGACGTTCCCCAACCCGCCGGCGGCCGTGACCGACGTGGCGGCTGCCGTGATGGTGCTGCTGGCGCCCCGCGGCCGCGTGCCCAAGGACCGCGGCTGGAGGGCCGCCAAGGCCTTCATGGGGAAGGTAGGCTGGCGGGGCCGAGTCTCTGCAGCCCGCTCGCGCACCGCCGTCTCGCTGCTGCAGGGGTCCTTTCGATAGGAACGCTCGTTAGTGCCAGTGAATCATGGGAATGGGAATGAATGCTAATTGGCTCTTTCCATTTTTATAATGTTGGGAGGTGGGACCGCTTCCACAGACTCCAAGTTTCACTCTATACTTACAACGCGTCTCGCCCATCTGCGTATAAGGCCACAGGCAGACGCTGTGTGCTTTTGATCCTTCCGTTACCGTGTGTGTGGCCTCTCTTGTTTCGGGTGCGTTCGCGGCTCCTTCGCGGAACGTCACGCCCGTGTCCGCCGCCCCCCCCCCAGGTGGACGACTTCCTGCAGGCCTTGGTGAGCTACGACAAGGAGCACATCCCTGAGAGCTGCCTGAGGGTGGTGAAGGGGGAGTACCTGAGCAGCCCCGACTTCCGCCCCGAGCGGGTCCGCGCCAAGTCCTTCGCCGCGGCCGGGCTGTGCGCCTGGGTCATCAACATTGTCAAGTACTACGAGGTACCGTGCGCCCGAGGGAGGGGCCGATCCGCCTCCTGCGAGCTGCGCAGAGTCTCGCCTCTAACCTGCACTCTGTAAGAAAGTAGCGACAAGGCCTGTCGCTTAGGATGCAAGCCGCTCCAGTTCCGCGCGGGGTCCAAGTCTGTGTTTGGCTTGGCCGGCAGTGTCTGAACTTTCATCGCGGCCGTGTTCGTCCTGGAGTTAATTACTCTTGTGAACAGGTTTACTGCGACGTGGAGCCCAAGAGACGAGCCCTGTCCGTGGCGAACACAGAGCTGGAGACGGCGACAGGGAGGCTGGGAGCGATCCGGAAGAGGCTGCTGGTAAGGGTTTTCCCTGATCTGTCGCCAAGCAGCAAGGGGAGCATCAGTCTGGCCGTGAGATAGACAGGACGTATACACGCACCATGAATGATGATGAGTCAAAGCTGTCTTCAAAACTGTTCATATTAACAAATGACCTAATACAAAAACCCAAGGCTTATGTATCAGTGGTAGGCTTGAAGCTCTTCTGCGTTTACTTTGTGAAACTACATGAAATAGCCGTGTTTTTAGAGTGTACTCTAGCTAAAGAGCTGGCACTGTGGTAATGACTTAAGTGGATCAGGAGACTCACTTGCCTTTGCCAGTCAATAAAGCAGGGCAGTCAGAAACTGAGCTCTTACTTTGACTCGTATACAGTGTAACAGTGATGCAGACATCTTCTAGCAAAATCTCAAATAAGCTAAGGATTTATACAGATACAGAAGGTACTGTAAGTTAAGGTTTATGCTCAGTTCCTATGCCTTTCAGTTTCAGGTTGTTGACGGGTTTGATTTTCAGTGCAAGCAGGTGTCAGTTCAGAGTTTTCAAGAAACCCACCTACCATCGTATCCTTGTTCGATTATATTCATTTTAAATGGGTGTACTTTATCTCACGGTCAGGGTTAAGCTGGCATTCTTCGTAACAATTAAGTTGCAACAGTAGAGAAAAGATGAATTAGTGGTGCGAACCCATGCGGCGTGTGTCTTGTTCTCTGCCTGTGAAGGATTTGGATGGCAGCCTGAGTCGCCTCACAGCTCAGTTTGAGAAGGCCACAGCGGACAAGCTGCAGTGCCAGGAGGGAGTGACCAGGACCACCCGCACCATCGAGCTGGCCAACAGGCTGGTCAGGGGGCTGGAGGTACGCGGGACAGGGCTCGGTCCAGGTCTCGTAGGGAAAAACTGTTCTCTTGAGCAGCAGCCAACCTGACGTTTAACATTTACTTTAGCTAGATTATCTGACATCATTCGCACTGTGTCATAATATGCAGTGATATCAGAGAACGATGAGCACCGATTTCTTAACTCTTGGAAAATGATATAGATATAGAACATAAAATTGCACGTCAAGTTAGGTAAAATAATTATAAATATAACCGTAAAATACATAGTCATGCATTTTTCAAAGGATTTATATTTTTTTTCATTGTTAAAATATAAAAATGTTCGCCAGGGATTCAAATGAGAATGGTATCTTTGCACAGTTCCATTTTAAATCTCGAGACTGTTCCTGTTCACAGAGTGGTAAAGTATGACTCTAAAACATATCAAGACAAATGATTTTGTCTATATGCCACTGACCTGGAAGCAGTGGTGTTCAGACTAATAAATCAGACAGTTTATATTTAATCATTAACTTACTCTAAAACCTGAGCAGCTGTTAAAAATTAAAAACGGTTCACCCCAGACAGAATGATATTACAGGCAATCTATAATGCATTAGGATAAAATGATAGTGATTTTTAACTGTCTTGAAATTTATTATGCTACAAGTTGAGGCTCTTAAACCCTTGTACACTAATGTCACTGGTGATTTATTGTCATGAGGTGTTGTGGTAACATTATTGAAGACTTAAATAGATGCTAAATTGAAGCTTTGAAATTAATTGAAATTTTACTTAAACTTTCAATGCGATTTTAGGGGATTGTGTTTGTATACTTCATTGTTTATGTCCTGCTGTTCCCAGATTGTCAGGGAGGAAAGAGATTAATCAGATGTACTCCTGTCAGCACTTTGTCTGGCATGTGCCAAGAAACAAAAACAAATTTAAGAGAAGAAAAGGGGGCTGAATCTTATCATAATCATTAAATATCTGAAACGATGCTCGATGTGAATGGTTATGATTTCATTCTCTTTTGCAATGTAATTCTTGTTGTCCAAGTTTATACTCTTCCGACTGCTCAGAGGGTCCATTGGCACAACTTCCTTCATGCTTTATGATGTAAAAATTGGAAGAAATGTATTTAACGAGCAACTACCTTCTGAATGACTTCTAATGTGCCTGATTAGTTTTAGCTGTTTCATTACCGGATGGCCTGTATCCCAGGTTTGCCTTTAACTGGAAGTTAGGAGGGTGTAGTTACAGCTGGATACGGCAGAGGCGAAGTCTGGATCTCCTGGCCATGCCATTGCCGAGCTCTTGTGTTGATCTACGGGAAGACTCTGTACAGGAAGTGGCCCAGATGTCGCGTGTGGCGGGTGCTGTCTGCTGTGTTTGTCCCGCAGGCTGAAGACGTTCGCTGGGCTCAGGCCGTGGGGCAGCTTGAGGCCCAGCGGAAGACCCTGTGTGGGGACGTTCTGCTGACGGCGGCGTTCGTCTCCTACGTGGGCTCCTTCACCAGGCGCTACCGGGAGGATCTGCTGGGGATGTGGATCCCTTTCTTAAAATCCCAGAAGGCACGCCGCCCGTCACGCCTCCGGTTTCCCGCCTCCGCGCTCCGGGCCAGCTCCTTCCTGCCGGGCTGAACTGGGTCTCTCTTCCCGCTTCAGGTGCCCATCCCACTGACCGAGGGCCTGGATCCGATTGGCATGCTGACGGACGACGCCACCGTGGCGGCCTGGAATAACGAAGGGCTGCCCGGTGACCGCATGTCGGCCGAGAACGCCGCCATCCTGACCAGCTGCGCCCGCTGGCCTCTGCTCATTGATCCCCAGCAGCAGGGGATCAAGTGGGTTCAGAATAAGTACGGCGCCGATCTGAAGGCCGTTCGTCTTGGCCAGAAAGGGTAAGGGTTTGCATGTTATCCCTGGAAGGACCCAAGTACAGAAATCGCAAATACAAACGTGCCTGTGACCTGTGGCGTGATGAGGTGGATAAAAAACCGCGTGCACATTGCTTGTGCTGACTGCTTTTTATGTTTGCGAGAGTCTTCTTGGTTGATTCTGCTTTAGTGGTCCAGCACTTGTTCCACCGAGACGCTCGGTCAGAGGCTCTTGTGTTTGAGAAAGTCCTGCTTGTCAAACAGCAGAGGGGATTGTACATTGTCCCTTCCTGTCCCATTGCTTCCATGTATATCCCAGCTGTTATAAAAAGATATATTGTAGTGGTCTTATTTACTTTTTATACATAAAGCTTTCAGCTTAAAAGGAATGTCCAATAGAAGACAAAAAATGACCACTAACTGACATCTGATCTGCCTTTTTGATACTATGGCTGCTTTCCACATCTCACCCCCGAAGGGGCCTGAGTGTGGGGGTGGCGGGTGCCAGTGGCCACAGCCTGACCACCGTCCAGCCTCAACAAGATTTATTGTTCAACCAACTTAGTTGTTAGTTGTTAGGAATTTGCCTCAGTGTGCTCATGACAGTTAAACAATAAAACAATAAAAACAGTAACACAAAGACTTCAGGCACAACATAACATAAAACCATAAGTTATAATCAAGAAATAATTCATGCATTTGCATTAAGTATGAAGTGCCAGCAACTGAAAGATTTAGGTTATTATTTTAGGTTAATGTTTTAGTATTGTTCATAGTGGGTTGTCTTTATATACTGTATACAAGCTTTATATTTATATTTCCTGAGTAGTATATGTCAATGATATATTGTAAATATTGCATATCTTTATTAAGTGCGGGGCGTACTCGCCCTTTTCCTTGTGTGTTGATCACAGTTACAGTACACTATGTCCTCTTGTCAATGAGAGAATTTGTGGCAGTCATCGTGATTGTTTTTAGGTATTTAGATACGCTTGAGAGAGCGCTGGCCTGTGGTGAGACCGTCCTGATTGAAAATCTGGAGGAAACTGTGGACCCCATTCTAGATCCCCTGCTGGGAAGAAACACTATTAAAAAAGGAAGGTAAGTGTCCGCCTGCCTCCTGGTCAGGTTAGGCCTTCCTGAACAGGGCGTTTCCAGCAGGGTGCGTTGCATACTGCTCCTTGTCTGTACACCTTTGTCTGTTTTGTGTAACGGGAAACTTATCTACCGTACTTTACTACACCTGCATTACTACTCACACTGTGTTATTGTGTTATTTTCTTTTTTTCTCTTCTCACACTGCTTGTCTTGTCACTCACTGCTTTTTTAAAGCTGTACTGTATGTTGTTTAACTTGTTGTTGTTGCTGCTTCTATTCTGTGTTTTTGTTTCATGGTATTTTCTTAATGTCTTGGTATAGGAGCATACATACAAATTAGCGTTTCGTTGCGCTTGTGCATATGACAAATAAACTAAACTAAGGTTGAGTCATCATTAAGTCAGGATTAATTTTAGACCTGCAGACGGGTTTAACTTTAGGTATTGCTATCGCCTAGCTAGCACACAAGTGTGATTGACTGAATGGCCTGAAGTTGTTTGCTTTCCTGTTTCTGGTTCTGTTCTTACTGTCTGCAGTTGGCTTACTGGTTCCCTATTAGAAGGGCATCTGGAGACTCGTGCTGTCATTCTGTAGATTACTGTTGTACCTGCTAGAGGTGTCACAGTATTCTTTAATCCTGTTTGACTCTTGTGGGGTTCGGTCATGCAGAAGTTTGCCTTGTTTCAGTTCAGACTGTTTTATGTCACACACAACATTTTTAAAATGTCTAGGAATTTGTTTCTAATCACATTTGTGCTAGAGCAATTTCCCAGACCTGCAGGCAGAGTTAATCTAAGCTGTTTTTCAGTTGTTAAATATTGTTGAGTCCGTTCCTGTGTAGGCTAAGGAGAATGTGCATCTGAGCACAGTCGAGCCGAAGGCACTTGACTTAAGGTTTGATGATTGGAAGATTTGAGATTATGGAGGAATTTGTAACACATGAGCTGAAACATAGGGGTAGGGCTATTGGTTTTATATTGAGATCCATGTGATAAGTGTAAGTGTTTCTGCAGTTTTGGTATCATGACAAATGCTAGAAAACGTCTAGCACTGCTGCACAAGTATTGCACTCGCCACTTAGCGCTTGGTCCTCCTGCTCGGCACATTCCACTGCGATCACAGTGTCCTGTAGCATGTGGCCACATCTGACACTGGAGCAGCCTCCTGGGCACCTCTGGGAGCCCGTGTGCCACAGCCCATCGACAGACAGAGCCCACTAAACCAAGAAACACTTTTACACTGAGCATACCCTGCCTGGCTGTCTGTCACCTGACCGATCTGCCAAACGAGGCGGAGCGGTTTTCAGGTGTAGTGCTGTTGAGTACCTTTTAATGCCTGTTCTGTGCCTTTCGTCGTGCATCATGCAAATAACGTGCATATTTTTGTCAGGGAGGTGGAAAGCTGAGAATTCCTCTTATTTTTTCTTCCTCACCCTGAACTGATGTAATCCAATGGCTTCCACTTCCTATGCAGCTGGTTTGTATAGGTGATTCATCATGGTAACAGAAAAGCATTATGGTCTGATGCTGCACCCCTTAAAGACATGCATGAGTTAGCGTATTAAATATCTGCACTCATTCATTGAGCATTTGTACTAGTCATAGTCCCCGAACCTTGACAATTCCTACTGGTAAATCTGATTATAAGTTTATTCCTTGTAGATGACCTAGTACCTTGTTTTTTCCTGTGATTAATACAGCCTGCTAAGTTGCTAGTGATGGATATGGTGCAGCCCAACAGCTGAAGTTCATTAATAATTGGAATGTTGTAGAGTGTGAAGTAATGAATACTAATTATTCCTTTCATGTCTGACAGAACCCCATGGGCTAATCCATCAGCACAGACTTTAATTTGGTCTAGTAATGGTTCTATCAATAGTACATTAATTCCATGTTGTGAAGATATAGAGTTGAACCTGACCCATTCTGTAACCACCACTGCCGTAAAATGGGCATCTGCTGACAATTGCCGGGTAATTAGAAAAAAATAAAATCATCAGGATTCAGGCAACCCTAATTCAAATGAAATGCATAAGTATTGACTTTGTGCAAATAGTTTCGGGCTGCGTTATTTCAAATGGGCTGTTAGTTCACCTGCTGTTCGTTAAAGTTCGAACCGGGTCACCTTGCTGATGTGGTGCAGACCTCACCTGCCCTCTTCCATCCCCTCTTCGGCGGTTTGCTGTTCTTTCGTGTCTGCCTTGCTTTCTGGGGATACTGGGTTGAGCCCTGAAGAAGCTCTAAGGCCCTTCTAGGTGCTTACTGTACGTGGAGCCCAGGGGAAGGTCCTTCAGCGGACAGGGGCGGGTGTCACGTCCAGGCAGTGTGCAGGAGACCGAGGTGCGACGTTCACGCGGGTCGTGTGTGTGAATCCGCAGGTACATCAAAATAGGAGACAAGGAGTGTGAATACAGCAGTGGGTTCCGCCTCATTCTGCACACCAAGCTGGCCAACCCCCACTTTCAGCCGGAGACGCAGGCCCAGACCACCCTCATCAACTTCACCGTGACCCGGGATGGCCTGGAGGAGCAGCTGCTGGCCGGGGTGGTCAGCGCAGAGAGACCCGACCTGGAGAGGCTCAAGGTAGGCCAGGGCACTCCGCACAGCCCAGCCCAGGTAGAAGCAGAGGCTGGCCGTCCTAGCTCCATCTGTCCGAAACAATTCTCCTTTCTCTTGTGCTGTGTCCTTTCTCTTGTGCTTTCTCTTGATGTACCTGCGGATTCACACACACGACCCGCGTGAACGTGTGTGTGTGTGTGTGTGAACTGTACCATGACTTTCCCCCTTCAGCCTTTAGGAAGGCAGGAGTAAATGCTGGGACACCAGCTGCAAACTTACCTGAGGAAGTTACTGCTGCCAGTAAAATACAAACAGTAATTATACAGGTGATAATTGTATGCTGAGCTCTTCAGTTTTTCTTTCTTGTGTTCAGTTGGTGAGCGATGGCTGTAGTTGTCCGTCGGTGAACACTAGAATCCAGCAGCCTTCACAAACTGTGTGTTTCGGTGGGGGGTGGGGGGGGTCAGTCTGAGCTCACCAAGCAGCAGAACGACTTCAAGATCGAGCTGAAGAGACTGGAGGACGAGCTGCTGACCCGCCTGTCCACGGCTGAGGGCAGCTTCCTGGGGGACAACGTGTTGGTGGAGAAGCTGGAGAGAACCAAGCAGACGGCCACAGAGATCGAGGCCAAGGTGAGCGCAGGTGGCCTGCTCGCCCGGCCGCTGGAGTGATTTCTCTCGCGCTGCTGGCTTTCAAACGCTGGCGACCCAAGTACAAGACGCACGGGTAATTGAGGTTTATAGCTCTACCGTTATTTTTAAGATAGGAGAAAGCGTTTTCATCTTCCTGCCTTCAGCATTTCTGAAGCTGGTGTTTTGGTGTGCAGAAGTGTGTGAACTCCACGCTGTGTTCATCAGAGGAGCTAAAAGACCTCGGTTCAGACAGAGCTGATGGAGCTTCGCCGTGTCCCTCCCATAGGTGCTGGAATCTCAGGAGAATGAGAGAAAGATCAACGAGGCACGGGAACTCTACCGCCCAACTGCAAGACGAGCCTCAATCCTCTACTTCATCATCAACGACCTGAGCAAGATCAACCCGATGTACCAGTTCTCCCTGAAGGTCAGACCATGAGAAAACAAGGGTTACGCTTCCCTTGGTTAGTCCACTGGAGGTTTTGTCAGCTGTGTGTATTTGCAGGTCTGCATGCACACAGAGTTTCCGGAGACATCGTGCAGACTGTCCATGTGAAGAAGACCTCATTTCATGTTTATG